GGCCGGGCCGAGGAGGCGGGGTCCCGGCCGGTGCGTGCGGGCCGCACCGCCCGGGAACTGCGCGGGGTCGCTCCTTCCGCACCGGGGCCCAAGGACGACGCCTCCCCGAGCGCAGAGACCAGGCCGGGCCGCCGCTCCCTCCCCTCCGGGCCCGGCGCCCCTACTTAGTCTCTAGGGCCGCAGGGATTATCCCTACCCAGCCCAGACCCCCGAACCGCTTTCTCTTCTCTTCCGCGTCCGAACTGGGTTTTCTTTCCCCACAGGTGTCCAGTGGCCTCAGGACTCCGGAAAGTTTAGGACTGAACCTATCCCAACATCTAGAAATGGGGGCCCTGGAATTTGGGAGTCCTGGAGAGCTGCCCTTAGGGCTATAGGTCGCTGACTTCTGTGTCTACTTCCTTTCCAAAGTTGAAGATTCCCTCTCTGTCTCCTCAAATTCATTACTGTCCGAGGTGCCATGACCCCCAAGCCAGAGGGTGAGTGGAGCACAGCCCTGTCCCAGGTGGTGTTGGGCGTGGTGTCCCTGCATGCAGCTGTGAGCACTGCCCAGGTGAGTACACTGGGGCCGGGGAGGAACGTATCCCCGTTCTCAAACCCCGAAGACCTAGTTCCCTGGATCACAGAGAGGGTGGTGGGAAGTAAGTCTGGGGCCAGGTGTCCACCGGAGCTCCAAACCATTTCCTGTTTAAAGGGGTGACCCCTGGCATCTTTTTCCCACATCCTCCCTTCCCTGCATTGACAGGCAAGTCGAGGGGCTGCCGCTGGCTTCCTGCTCCAGGCCTTGGCTGCTGCCACCATGTTGGCCCCAGGGCTGGGCACACAGGAAGACTGTCTTGCTGGAGCCTGGGTGGCTACCGTCATCGGCCTGCCCCTTCTGGCCTTCGATTTCCACTGGGTGAATGGCGACCGCTCTTCTGCCAACCTGCTCCTGGGAGGAGGCATGGTGCTGGCAGTGGCTGGTGACCACCTCGGCCCTGAGGGCCGCTCTGTGGCTGGCCAGGCAGTGCTATTGGTGGTTGCAGTGACCATCCTCATCGTGGCCGTGTTCACGGCCAACACTTATGGGATGTGGGGGGGCACGATCCTGGGTGCAGCAGGCCTCCTGAGCCGCCTGGAGGAGGACAAGCTGCTATTGCTGCCAAAGGAGGACATCTGTCGCTGGGCCCTGGCTGTGGGCAGTTGGGCCTACTGCCGGGCCCTGCACACACAGCACATGCAGTGGGAATGACAGCTGCACACATCAAGGCAGGGTTTCTGCCCTGGCTACCACCTCTTCTCCTACCAGCCTGCTCCTGGGGCCTCCTCCCCTGGGGATAGATTCTACTTCCTCCCGAAGTGGGCTTGCTGCAGGTTGACTGGTTAGGGGGGAGGATCTGGGTGCTGTCCCTTCTCAATCCATGTGTGGGGACTTGCCTAGACCAGAAGGGGACGGGGTCCTAGGCATATTTTGGGGGCTGATTCTGGGCTGGACATGTTTGTGGGTCCAGGGAGAAGCTTGATCTCCAATAAACCTTAGGAATTCTGCAAGAGTATGGAATCTGCCCATTCTTGAGAGGAATCGAGGGATCCATCAGTGAACTTCCCGAGGGCCACAGAGCAGCAACTGGTTTCCTTAAGCAAAGGAAGGGATGTGCTGGAACTCTAGTGGGGCCTCATGCAGCCTGGCTTCCTCCTGGCACCTTTGTCAAGAGGGCCCCTGGGATGAGAAGACGTAGTCCTGGGTCCTTGCTCTCCTGGGACATGGTGGGGTTTCGGATATCCTTGTCCGCCCCGCAGGAAGGCTTCCAAGACAGTGACCTTCGTGGGCTGACGGCTGGGGGCGGGACAGGGGAGGGCTGTACCACAGTGGTTCCCAGAAACACGTCCCTTCCCAGGGCTGACTCGACCTCCTCCTGTTTGCTGTCCAGCCTTGGCTCATGGAAGCCAAGGCCTGTTCCCTAAGACCCTCACTTTCCTCCGTGTGGACCCCTCTTCGGCTTCCAACCCAGGGTTAGGAAGCCGGGTTGGGTAGAGCAGTGAGACTACGGCTGGTTAGGCGTCCGGAGTCGCCCCTTCGCCCTCCCCCGCAGTCCCTCTGCTTGCGTGTTATGGAAGCGCATCCGGTCCGGCATAAGAGAGGTGGCCGGAGAAGGTTTCGTTCATGTCCTTCCGCTCCCACAAGCCAGGCCAGAGCCCCGCGCACGCAAGCCCCAGTCTTGAGGGACAAAGAAAAAGACACACCCCGACGTGGGGGTCCTGAACTGCCTTCCGCTCCCGCTGACTTGCGGGGATATGGGCGTCGCCCCCCGCGCGGCTTCTCCGCCCCCAGGTGCTCGTCGCGCCGCGGGTCGCACCGAGCCCCGCCTCCTTCCTGCTCACCTTCCGCAGAGGGCGGGCCCTCGCGCGCCCATTGGTTCTGACCGCCCCGCCGTCTCGCCCCAAGCGGCGCTCCGATTGGCCCCGCGCGGAGCTCACGTGACGGGGGGGACGAGGGGGCGGTGGCGAGGGGAGAGCAGCGCGCGGCGAAAACAAAGATGGCGGCTGCGCCGG